AGAGGATCCGAGGCGTGTGCTATGGTAACGAGGCATTGCAATCAATTGAATTGATTTTCTCTTGATGTTTTCTTCTATAGAGTTTGGGTGGTGAAAAATATAACGTGTGCGGATTTTTTTTGGAGGTTGTTGATACGATACTATCTATGATCGATCCATGCTTTTTGCATGGCGGCATCTCAACAAGACGGCCAACCTAACCGGGCAGCCCACTCGGCTCGCGACCGCGGGCGGGTTGTGGATTTTATGCCGTACTTTTTCTTTGCAGTACCCTCAGCAAGGCCGCCCGGATTCTGCTCCGCGACTGGCTCCCCCCGGCTTGTCTCGTCACTGTAGGACTGCATAAGGAACACCGTAGGTGCGCGACTAAAACGCATGCACTCGTGTGAACCGTTCGGTACGTGGAAGCAGGTCATTTTCATGTACGGGCTTTGTTCATCGGTTCCTGTCGAGAAGGCTGCTCGACCAAGCCGTGTAAGTGGCTGCAAGGCACGACAGGGTCTCCATTGGGGAGGCCAAACTAATGCTGTCGTTCCTCCTTCGACTTTATCCCGGCCCCCTCTGGTGTGCCATCCATCCCCACTCAGGAACTGCCACTCTAGGTGCCATTGACTGCACTGCTAAGTGCTGGATGGGGTGGGGAAGGTGACATTGGCTTTTTTTTTTTCTCCCCCTCTCTCCTCTCCCCTGCCACACGCCGCTATCCGAACCCAGGAAAAAAAGTACAGCAAGCGGAGCAACCTCGAAAGAGTGCAGGAAACGAGGCGAGGCCCGAGTCTTCTGCACACGAGAGCGGACGCTGCGCAACATGGGCTTCCGTGAGCCATGGTAACAGTGCATTAACAAGCTCGCCAGTTGCGGTTGGGGGTTGCAGCGAGAGCTGGAGATTAGAGTATGCCCGATATCGAGGCCTTTTGGCCAACGGGACAAGGCCCTGCATGTCCCGTTCTTGTTACTCGTGGTTTCCCGCTTCTCTATCTTTCTCTCCTTTTCGTCCCCCTCCCCCCACTGCCAGCCACGCGCAGAAGAGTGTGGCTACATGCCCGGATCGTGTATTGGTGTGGTGAAACAAGGGGCCAAGGCCGTATCTGCCCATCGTCCCGGACACCATCTGCCCAAGCACCCAGGATAGCTGGGCCTTGGGTGGGAGAAGTGGCGGGAATGCGGGATGTTGGAGGACGAGCTAACCAGTCTCACTTTACCCTGGATCTTTTGGTCTTTGCCCATCCATCAGCGGCGACTACTCGGTGGCTTTGGACGGAGAAGCCGACGGTCCTGGACGCCGAATGGCGCGCGGGTCTGGACGCAATCACACCTAGAGCAAGGTCCATTGACATTAGGGGGAACGCCTCGGGCCTTGTGCTAGTCCTCGGCACACCGGCAGATGCGATACAAGTGGCGTCGGGGAGCCGTAAATCGAGCATGGGTTTGATATCGAGTGTTTTCATGGCCAGAGTCCTATTATCCCGCCCACAACGTGCATATGACTTGTTCACATGTTGCCTACTTGCCCCGCAAAACATGCGCATGCAAAGATCAAGGTATCTTCTGTCAGCACCTTAGATGGGGTTGCAAATGCGTCCATGTGGGCAGAGGAGATTCAAGGCGGCGGCGGCGGCGGCGGCGGTTGGTTGGGGGTTGGCGGTCAGTCCGAGGACCCTGACCCCGACCTAGGGCCCCATTCATCCGTCGGCGCAAGAATGTAGGCTATACTGTGTATGGCAATGTTGCTGCGGGACACTCCACGCTGCATTTGGCCGAGCATGGGGGCATAGAGGGTGGGATGGGAGGTGGTTCGAGTTGGCGGTGGCCCCCAGGTGCAGCACACGTCCAGTGCGTCCGTCATGTACATCTACCTACCTACCCGCCCACGAAAGGTAGCCCGTGTAATGAGGAGGTTGGGAACAAGGCCGCTGCAGATGGCAAGAGCCCACCCGGCTCCCGCCAGCGGCCCTTGGTTCCAACCAGGCCAATGGGGCCCTCTGCAGGCCGCCAAAGAGGCGGTTGCTTGATGGGCCGCCGCTCGCTTGCTGCACGTATGTACCAGAAGCAAGTCCACTTGCCTCCCGCCCCGGCGGGAAATGAGATCACACTGATCTCCCCCCCTCGCTGACGTCGAGGCCTTATGCGCGATCACGCAAGGAGGCGGTACGCACGTATGAGCCCGCGCGCGTTTCTGGATACCGACATGCCCGCAAGAGAAGCAAAGATGGAGTCGCAGTTCTGGCCGGCCGTCTCGCGCGGCATCCATGGTTAGACAACATATCAGCGGGACATGGTTCCGAGGACGTCAAGATTGAGTGATGCGAAAAGTCACGCATTAAAAGGCCGTGCTATTGCATATAATCCACAGGCCAGAGGGGGGGCCTCCATGCCATATTGCCGTTTTGCGCAGATGAGGGGAAGGCGGGCCATGTGCCTGGCGACTAGTGGCATTTGGCATTGATAACAATCGAGTAGCGGGCGCATTGTCGACGGAAAATAAAGGACCATGGGTGATGGGTGTTGCCATGTCAGATGTTGAAAGGAGCTCGAGTCCTCGCTGGAGGCCACAATGAGGTGGGGGTGTGAGTGGCCAGTGGCTGCTGTGCTGTGGTGTGCCAGCCAGGACGCAGAATTGGAAGGCGCGGAAATCTTAGCGCCGGGCAGGGATACACCCATGCTCTTGCCATGCCGGAAAGGGCGAGGGCGCTGCAGGTCGCCAGCCAATTGGCGGGCCGGACCTCCCTAGCTTGCCAGCCGGGCGCGTAAACGGCGACTTCAGTGGCCTTGGCACCCCTGCACCCCAACCCCGCCCCTCCTGAGCTCTGCCCAACCACGTCGCGCGAGAGGGCTGTGGCAGCCCGTCCCAGTTCGCACACGCACGCTACGCACACAATCCATTGAGGGAAAGAACAACGCACCACCCCCGAACCCGTTCGCCTAGTGCCTGCCCTCTGTTTGTGCCCCGGCGCTATGCCTGCGTGGCCTCCAGCTGGGACAGCGAGGAGCAGCAGCAGCTGGAAATTGACCTCTTGCTCCATTGTTGCTGCCCAGAGAGAACGCCACACGGTTGGAGATGGGAGGCGAATGCATCATACCCGCGCGCGAAACACCAACGTGCCAGCCAACTGAGCCCAAGGCCGCGTCTAAATCGTGATGACTGACCCTCACTCTCGCTCTTGGTCGCCTTTCTGTCCCCCCTTTTTTTTCTTTTTCTTTCTCTTCCTTTGGCCCCCGCCCACGCGCCGCCCCTCGCCCGCTGGGGCGCTGCGACGGCGCTTTTGCCCGCTTCCATGTTCGTTGCGGCGGGGAAAGGTGGACAAGGGCT